TAACCCAAAATACTAACCTATTCGGGTTAGTTCTAACCTTACTTTTTTTTCTGTGTTTACGGTGATTCTTCCAGTAGTTTAGAGAGAGAGAGAGAGGTGTTTGTGTTTGTGAATTCTTTTGAAAACGTTTTTATTTTTTCAATTCTGCGAATTCTGTTTAGTTTTTTTTTGTGTAAATTTTATTTGTTTTATCAAAGAGCCAATTTTGATTTCTGGAAAAATAAATGGTGTTCACAAAACAAATCACAGTACAAATCACCAAGAAAGATATAAAAAAAAACTTGTAAATTTTTTTTTTTGGTTGAAAAAAACAAAAACAAAAATCATGCAACAAACAAACAACAGGAAAAGAATTCCATTCATTTTCATTAAATTTCATGATGACAACAACGACAATAAGACAAAAATCATTTCATATGCCTATTGGGAATTTTTTTCCCTTCTTATATTCTTTTCAGTGTTTTTTTTTTTTTAGTTTTGATTGTCATCATTATTGTAAGTGTGCGTGTGTGTGTGTAAATTATCCACAAACTTTTAGTTTGTCAATCAGCATTGAAGAAGAGAATTGTAAAATTTTCTACCTTTAAATGAAAATTGAATAATATAAATAATAAGAAAAAAAACTATAAAATATCAAATATATCATTATTTTCCTTTGTGATTGCTGATATTTGATGATGATGATGATGACAACAATTTGATAGTAACATTTGATGCATCATCATTTCTATTCAGTTCTGTTATGTTTTATGAATCAAAAAAATTGAAATCGGTTTTTTTCTCTAATTGTTAAAGTATTCAATATTTTTTATTGTTATTGTTGTTGAAAATTCTTCGATTGTTTGAATGTTGAACGAATTCATCGATAAAAAATAGGGAAAAGAAAAATGAATAAAAAAATAATTTCCTGGTAATGTGAATCGCGATATGAGAAAAAAAAATGAATTGAAATTTGAATTTTGTTCAACTTTCCTTTTATAAAAGAATGAAAAAAAAAGTTTGCTCAACCATTATGGTTGATTTCATTATTATTTCCTTAGTTAGTTAACGACTACAATGATGATGATGATGATCAGAATCAAATGAGAGAGAGAGAGAAAAAAAAAATACAAGATTTTAGTATTGTTTCCGTTCTTTATTTGAATTAAAAAAAAAATTTCTTAAAACCGATAAGATTGATTCGATAAAACAAAACACAATCAGATTTCTAATTTTTTTTTACTTTTTTCTCCAAAAAAAGCAAACTTCACTGCTTTTCATTTTTGATTGTGAATTTTTTTTTTTTTGCTTCTTCTTCTGAATCATTTTATAATTTGATTTTATTGATTGTGAAAGATAAATTCGATTCGAAACAAATGGAAACAATTTTTTTTGTTCTGTTTTCTTGTCGGATATCCCAAAAAAATTTATCAATTATTAATTGCAAAATTACGTTCAGTTTCTTATCTACTTCTGTTCATGTAATTTTTTTCCAATATCTTTTAATTTTTGTTGTTGTTGTTACTATCCAAAACTAATCAATCAATTAGATTTTTTTTCCTTGTATTTAATTTATCTCTTTATTTGTACTTATTATGCACGCAAAATATTAATCATTTAAACAGGAAAAAACCAACAGAACAAAACAAAACAAAAACAGATAAACCACAATGTAATTATCAAATGATGATAAAGATGTGTAACGAAAAACTCTCATTAATTCTGTATTCACAAATTTTACAATCGATTAATTTTTATATATTATAGATTTGTTTTTGTTGGTAGATTGAATGAAAATTTTTGTTTTTTTTTTTGCCCACTAATATTACAAACCTTTTACAAATAAAATAATCTTCAAATTGTAAACATTCGCACACACACACACACAAGTTTGATTCCTTATTATTATTCTGGAACAAAAAAAAAAAAAAAAAAATTTTCCCATACATTTTTTTGTACGTATTGAGTTTGCGTCAATGGTTTTTACCGTTTCTCGTTTATAACAAACAAAACAAAAATTTTTGGTTTCATCCCTCCAATTTTGCGTATAGGAAGCTATATTTGAAAAACAAATACAAATTTCAGTCTATTTTCATTTGAAAAAAAAATGGTACGAATTCCAATTTTTCGATAGAATTTATTCATTTTTCAATCGTTGATCGGTTAACACATTCACACAGAAAAAAAACAAAACATCTTAACATTGATAAATTTTTTAAAACAATCAAATTTTCGAAGAAAAAATAAAAATTTTATCAAATTTATTTTGAATTTGTGCCTTTTTATATTTGTTTGTTTGTTTGTTTGTTTATAGTGGATTTCCTATAAATTTTGTCTATAAAATTTATGCGTTTTGGAAATTCTGAAAACCTTGTTTATTCAAAATTTTGTTGACTATTTGTGTTATGCAACGTGTACAGTACATTACAATATTCAAACATCATCATTGATCAGATAAGTCAAAATAATGTAAGTCGATTATTTTAAGATGATTTTTTCTATTCTTTATTCTAAAAAAATATTTTTTTGAAGAATTTGTTTATTTTGTAAGAAAGAAAATATAAAACTTTTATCAGGTGATCAAGGTGTGTTGGCAATTCTTTTTCTTTCGTTTTGATCCATTTAAAGTACTTTTCACATTCTAATATCATTCATCTGTTTAGTGTAAATTATGCTAATGTTTTTTTGTTTTTTTTGTTTTCAATATATGAAAAAACTTTTTATGTTTGTGTTAAAAGTTTTGTTGTCTGTCGAATATTTTTATGCATCTAAAATAGAAAAATTTTCCAAATCACATAATTCTCATCGCATACTTGAATTGAATAGGCAACTAAAATAAAACAACAAACAAACAAAAGTTCAACAGGATTTAGATCGAGAAGAAAAAAAAATTGGCAAATGTTTCTATTGAATTTCATTTATTCATCCGTTTGTACATTCTCTATAGTCTTGATGTTTGATGTTTTTTTTTGGTTGTTGAAAAATCTCTCTGTATACCGATGGCCAAACATTATTACATGGTGACAACAACAACAAAAAAGATAAAGAATGTAAAACGAATTACATTTTGATTAGGCTGATGTTGTTGAACAAAAAAAATAACGTTTATGTAGAATTTATTTTGTGAAATAAAAAAAAAATAATCGAAAATTCACTTCACTTCCAACCTTCTAATATTATAATTCTATTCGGTTTTTTTTTGTATTTCTGTTGTTGAAATTGGAGATGACATATTTTTTTTTAATAGGAAAAAAACTATTTTACCATTATTATCATTGTAATTTAAAACTTTAAAAAAAATACAAATTTCAAATTACAAATATTATTTAGGGAAGAATAACAAGAGAGAGGAAAAAATTTGATTCAAAAACACAATAATTTGCATTTTTTGATTTGTTTTTTTTTTGATTTGTTTGTTTTTTCTCTTCAAATTTTTTTTTCAATTAATTTTTCTTCCACCACTTTGTTATTCTACCATCCGATAAAAGTATTCGTTAAATTTGTTAAATTGTATTGATGTTAATGTTTTTCGTTTTTTTTCATTGTAAAAAAAATCGTGAAAAAAATCGATTGATAGAAAGAAAATAAATAAGTCGATTACGTAATAATACAAAAGTATCTCTCTCTCTCTCTCTAGCGATTTTTTTTTCATTGATGCTGAAATGATTTGTTTGTTGTTATATGCTGTAAATATTGTTTGAATCAAACTTTTTCACTATTTTTCTTTATCATCCTTAAGACTTTCATTCTATTCAATTGAAACTCATGACATGTATATATTGATGATGATAAAAAACTTGGTTTTCATTTTACCATTTTTCCCCCTTCACACGCACACACACACATATAACCAATCAAATTCTCTGGTTCATATTCTTTAAAAAAAAGATTGAATAAGTCTTACATACTTTTATCTATATCGAAAATGAAATTATTTGCGTATCAAATCATAACCATCCTCATCATAATTTTTTTTTCTTTCGTCGTAATTGAATGATTTTTTTTTCTTCATTTCTCAGCAAATCATTATCTAGAAAAAAAAATTCTGATGAACTTTATATTCTACAAAAGTAAAAACCATATTGATAATCAAAACAATTTAATTGAATTTTCATGCTACATTTTTTTCTTTTTTTTCTTTTTTTTTTCCTATTACAGATTATTGTAATCAACAACAATGAATCTACGTGATGAAATAAACTTGCTTGTTCAATAATAATAATAATAATTCTCAATTGATTTGATCTAAAAGTCATGATCATTGATTATTAATCATGGATCATAGTAATAATGATAATAATAATAAAACAAGTGAACAATCATTAGAAGCATTGGATGAAAATTATCAAATATTTTTGATAATACTTTATTCATTTACAGCTTGTTTTGCATTCATATCAAATTTTTTAACAATAATTGTTATGTGGAAAGGAAAACGTTGTTCACGTGATTTACGTAAATTTTTAATAAATTTATCTGTTACTGATTTATTGATGGCATTATTTACAATACCATTTACATATACAAATTATATGCTTGGTCGTTGGATTTTTTTCCCATCAATGTGTTCATTAGTTAATTTTGCTCAATTAACAACAATTACTGTTAGTATTTATACATTGGTTGCTATTGCAATTGATAGGTATGTAATTTTTTTCTTGTTTTTAAACCAAAAAAACCAATCAATAATTATCGTTATTTTTCACACACACACACAGATATACGGCAATTGTTCATCCATTAAAACAATCTAAATCATGGTTTAAACAACATCGTACATTAATCGTTATACTTATATGGCTGTTAGGTCTGTTATTAGGATTATTACAATTTTTAGCATCCGAAACAAAAACATTTATACATAATAAACATGAATATATATCATGTGATGAAAAATGGAAACCACAAAGTTTAGAAGGTAAACTTTATACTGCATTCATATTTTCAACAACATTTGCAATGCCAATGTTAGCACTTTGTATTATTTATACGGCAATGGGTTGGAAATTATTTCGTTATCGTACACCTGAACAACAATGTTGTTTGAATAAAACTTTTAATAATGTTGATGTTGATGTTAAGGATGATTTTCATGGACAAAAAGTAACTGGTAATTGAATTGAACTGAATTGAATGAATGAAAGAGAAAAACCACAATGTAAATTCTGTTATTATTTTTTTTACTTTTTTCGAAATCCAGTGTTGACAAATGGATTGAATAATGATGATGCAAATGATGATAAAAATCAAGAATCAAATAAGAAAATATTTGCCAAAATTAATAGTAAGTAATGTTTATATTTGATTTGAATGATTATGTTGTTTGTTTGTTTTTTTGTTTCAAAAGAAAAAACTAAATTAAAATCAACTAATCAACAGCAGCAACAACAACAACAACAATCATCAGATTATTATGTTTGTATAAAATCAACATTATTCAATAAGTCACTACACTCATCATCATCATCATCATCATCATCGTATTTTTATCATCATCATAAAAAAACTTTTAACAATAATGATCATCATGACCATATTGTACAACATCCATCATCAATCAAATTGATTAATCATCGTCGCCATAAGGTTTGTTTGTTTGAAGATTTTTTTTTTTTTTTGGTTCCTATTCCTCATTCAATTTCCATTTGTCAAGTTATATTAGCCCAATTTTATCTTGTTTTTATTTGTCAAAAAAAAAAATATTGAAAATAAAAATTCCGATTTCCAATCAATTTGTTCAAGTGGATTGGATTCTTTTTCCAATCAATAATTTGCCAATCAATAATTTGTTTGTTTTTTTTTGTATTGGTCCATCTTCAATTTATCAAGGTTCAATGATCATTTCGATGATTGGAATAATAAATATTGATGAAATATTTGATGGTTAATAACTTTTTTTCTAGGTGAATTTGTTTTTATATGAAGACAAGACAAGTAATAATGACAAAAAAAAAACAACAACAACAACAAATTCTGCCCCAAAGAAATATAAATTCTTAAATTCGATGAAAATATTGAGTGAATGAAAATAGATTGAGTTAATTAATCTATCGTGGCAGCCGAAAAAAATCGATTTTTTCTCTTGTTTCTCTGAAAGTCGCAGAAAAAAAATGTTAAGAAAGAAAGATGATTGAAAAATTCAAAACAGGTAGCTTTTGCGATCAAAAATAGAAAAGAAGAAGAAAATGTATAAAAACCAAGATAAATTCCTTTAGTTCTTTTTTAATGATGATCATTATTATTATTATGGAAAAGAAGAAGAAATTTTCATTGATCATTTTTTTTCTTTGTTAATAAAATATCCGAATGTTAACTTGATATTTGATTTTTCTTTTTCTTCTATGTTCAATTTTTCCAATTTATTAAAATTAACATTGATCAAACCGAACTAAACTAATATTATTTTTGTTTGTTTGTTACCAAATATAGGTACTAAAAATGCTTATCATTATAATCGGTGTATTCACTATATGTTGGTTACCAATCCAATTATTCAATATATTAATATATTTTAAATCAAATTTTCTTCGTGTTGATTCGGAATTTAAATATTATGCATTTGTTGGTAGTTATTTTTTTTGTCATTGGATTTCAATGGCACATAGTTTTATGAATCCAATTATTTATTCATTTATGAGTAAAAATTTTCGTGTAAGTATTAATTATTATTTTATAATATAAAAAAACAAAAACAAAAACAAAATAGTTTATTATAATAATCATTATTTATCATGTTTTTTTTTTTAAAAATAATAATACTTATTGTTTTTTGGTTTCTTCTTCCTCTTTATGATTATTCTGGAAATAGTCTGACATGAAAATGATATTTGCAAATATTTATCATTATTGTAGATGGATTAATAATTTGAATCAACATTCTATTAATAATAATGATAATGATGATAAGAAGAATAAAATGAAACGAAAATTGAATAATAATAATATGGATAAAAAACAAGGGATAATAATAAATAATTTATGAATAATTTTTTTTTCTTATTTGGATATTGATCTTCATGACGACGATGACGACGACGACTATTGATAACAAAGATTATTGATCGATTGCAAAAATAAAACCAAGGTTTGTTGGTTGGTTGGTTGGTTTGTTAATGAAACAAACAAAGAAAATAACCAAAGAATCGATGAAAAGAAGAAACAAAAAATCAATATGATTAGAGTAATTCATAACAAAAACATGTTATTCGAATCAAATAAGGTATGTTTTATTAATTTATTAATTAACAACAGCAACAATGATAAAATTTGCATGTTTTTTTTCGTATTTTTCTTTTAAAAATCATTTTTATATGTTTTTATCGTGTTTATTACCCAAATTTTTGACATGATCGAAGGTGTTGTTACTGAATTTGTCCATTATGATTATGAAATTTTTGAATTAGTTATACGATTCTTGGTTTTCGCTCAGTTAACACATTTACATTCATGTAAACCATGACCTGTACAAATACCATTTTTGTAACCAGTTTCTTGACAATGTTTTATACATAATGCAGGATCTGGACAATTATAATTGTCAGATAAAGATGAATTGGTTGATTGATTTCCTATTTTTATTATTTATTTTTTTTTTGTCGATTTCGTGCAAACATTTTGAAAATTTAATCAAAAAATGTTAATCAAATAAATGAATATCATACCGGATTTTGGAGTTGTTGATGCCATTGTTGGTTGCAAAATCATCAAAGCTTATCAGTGAAGAGAAAGTGAGAAAATAGAAAAAAAAAGAAAATAACCGAATAAATCTCTGTGTGAAAAAAATAGGAGATTTTTTTTTTGTTCTTGTTACCCAAAATTAATCCCAAAATAATGGCTAATGAATGACCAATTAAGAATTTCATTTTTTCGGCAATAATGTTTATTTCCAAAGTGGATAAATGTTGATTTGACAATGACAAAAAGTTAGACAGACAAAGCAGTAATTAATAATAATGACAGACAAATTGAATGATGTCGATTGATTTTTATTCAATTTTTCACCTTTGATATTTATTAACAATAATAATATCTGATATTTAAATACAGTAATGACCCTTTATTATTTCAGATAATGATAATGATAAAGGTCAAGAATTTTTTTTTTTGTTTGTTTTATCAGTTTTTTTTAAATAATAATAATGTCAGATAAATTGAATGATGTTAATGTAATTATGAATGTAATTTCAATTAATTTTATTTAATTTTTTTCATCTTTGATATTTAAATAGAATAAAAGTAATGACCTGTTAATAATGATAATAATAAAGGTTAAGATTTGTTTGTTTCATCAGTTTTTCTAAAATAATTGTCGGTTAATTTTTATCCCAAAAAGAAAAAAATCAACCAATACAACGACAATCTTTATTCAATAAACCTTGACAAACACCATCTTTAAAACCATTTTCTTGACAATGTTTTCTACATAATGATGTTAATGGACAATCAAATGAATCGGCTACAGGTGAATCAGCTAATTGAATTTCTATTTTGATTAGAATAAAACAAAAACACAAACAAACAAAAATATTAAATTGAAAATTTTTTAATCAAATCAAACCTGGTATTGGATTGGCCATTGTTGGTTCTAGAATCATCATGACTTAGTGAATGAAAAGAGGAAGAGAGAAACAGAAAAAAAACAATAACTTGTTTAATCTGTGGAAAAAAACGATAAAATTAATAATTTGTTTTCATAATTACCCAAAAATAATCCCAAAATAACAAAAAATGAATGATAAATGAAGAATTTCATTTTGTTTCAGCGAACAAAATCAAACCAAACCAAACAAAAGAAAGAAAGGTATAAACAAAAACAAAAAACAAAACGAGCAAAACAACAAAAAACAATTTAAACAAATAACAATCAAATCCAATGATATAAGATACCTTTTTATATTGATGATGATGATGTTGATGTTTATTTAGAAATGTAATTAATTTTAATTGATTAAAGATTTTTGATTTCATCTTTTTTATCAGTCATTATTGATAAGGTAAAGTAAAAAAAAAGAAAGATATGTTTTTTTTGTCTCTCTAATTAAGATGATAAGTTCCTAAGTAATATATGTATTGGTTAATGATAATTTCCGTCAATGATTGGTTAATGAAATCATTGACGGAAGAATTACAAAACAAAACAAAACAAAAAACCACTCGGAAATATTAATGTTAAGAAATTTCTTTTGATATTTGATTAATTCAATAATGAAAATGTGAACAGAATTATCTTTAAGAATTTGTTATTTGAAAGAATTGAATTGAAGATGTAGAAAAAAGTTAAAATGTAGAAACTTTTAAACTTCAAAAAATCATTAAAATATTAAGACAAACGTCAATATAATAGGAATTATCATCAATTTTTTTTTTGTTTGTTTTCAATGGTTGACAATATTGATTGAACATTCATTTTATATCTAATAATAGAATTTTTCGTTCTTTTTTTTCAAAAAAAACAAAACAAAGAAAACAAACAAACCTGCCTACATGATTCTTATTATTATCATCATCGATCATCACAATGATAAATCATTATGGCCAAGGTAATTTCAATCAATTGTTCATCGATCATTTCAATATTTGCTATCTATCAACAAAAAAGAAAACATTTGACGATTCATTTTTCTTTTTATTTGTCTATTTTGTAGATTCTCTCCGAACCGATGGACAACAGCAACTGGAAATGACTGGTACTGGCGCTTGTTTTTTAAGCAAAAAATATCGATGTCGTTCTAATAGCCTTTGGTCGGAAATGATTGAAATTCGCTTATCTCCTGATTACTATCATCAATTAGCTCAAACGATGTTAATCCTCCATTTTTTTGTATTTTTTTTTTACTTTAAACAAACAAAAAATTTTTAATAAACATGAATTCAAAAAA